AGGACCTGTTTGCCTTGGGAAACCCTACCAGGGACATAGCCCCCGACAACATAGCTCCTAGGATCACTCGGGTACTCAAACCCCTCCACCACAATGAGGTGGCGGTTCAAGGAGGGGAGAAGTAACATTTTTACTTTTAATCTATCTGATATGTTAGTTAACAAAACAAAAGGACAGCTAAGAACTGATATTCAAACCAGTCTGACATCTTAAACAACGCTTATAATACACAGCATCAGCATACTTTAAACTCACCTGTCGATGAATAAAGACTACAGACCCCAGGAGCCTCCACGTTCCTCCCTGTCGATCCACATGTAGCATGCGCAAGATTTGGAGGAAACGGATGCCTCTGCAACACACAGCACCACCTCATCCATCTCATTATCTGACCTTTCTCCAGCTACGAGTATATAATAAAATATTTGGTATACCTGATGGCAGATGTGGCAAACACTTGGCCATTGGACCCTACCCCGAGCACAATGATTGAGGCGATGACCACTATCACATCTACAAAAATGGGGAAAAAAAAAACAAAACACACAGACCAAAGCAAAAAAGGTGAACCAAATGAACTTATCAAACCACAGCTGGAATCAGTTGAGTTTCAACAAAAAACTTTACTGAAGTAAATCCTTAAATTGCTTGAATGATCCAAGCTGTTGATCTACTGTACAAGAACAGTTCATGACATCTCCTGCATTAGATGGAAAAAAGGAAAATGCCAGGTGCACCTATGATTGATATGGGCTTCCGGATAAAGCGGAGACGTCCTTTGATGCCTGCATATTTGCTGCGACAGCCTGCCGACCACAGCCGGACCACATACTCTGTGCCAAAGAACAGCACCAGCACAATCTCCTGTGGAGCACAAGGGTTACAGGGTGAGAGAATGTGGGAGTAGATAAGTTATCATTTCTAAAAGCAGTGGTATCACAGTCCTATGCATTAACACTAATCTAAAAGCACTAATGCTTCTACAGTCAATCATCGAGATTTACGATGTGATATGAACGGGTAATGACAGGTGTGTGAGATAAAACCAGAGAGACACTGAGGTGGTCTAGTGGCAACCACCCAGAAGGAAAGATGGAGGTTGATAACATGGCTGATGACAGTTCATATTGACACAGGTCAATGGCTAAGTGGTTGAAGCCAGAGGATGAATGCGCCAGCACACTGCTGCCTAACAGTTAAAAAAGCTAAATAATCAGCATGGTTGGTGCAAACCTTAAAAAAAATAGTTGTAGACAGATGACCTACAAACATGCACCTATATACCTGCTGAGGCTGCTTTTTTAAAAAGGTGTTTCACTATGTGCCATCGTGTATTATTTTCCTACATGTGTTCTTTTATAAATTCATTAAGCCTGTCTTATGGAGGTCTTTTTCCTGGCCACCATACACCCATAATATTTAACTGGCATACCCTCTGTTAAAACCTAGGACCATGTGGGTGGCCATCTCAATGATTACTTGAACTGGCTGCTCCCTGACCACCCCTTCTATGAAACTTAATACCATGAGCCCTGCTGCAATAACACAGCACTACAGAGCCCCAAAACAATGACCTGTCAATCACACCAAACACTATTCTGGCTGGCTAAAGTGTTGCTCATGTATCAGAACAAAGGCAAGTTGCAAACGTGAACATGTAGTCATACTTTTTTGCAACAATAGTTACAGTAGAGGAAAAATACTTTATTTTGAATACAAACCTAAGGACATCCTAGTGATAAGGTTCTAATGATTTTGTTTGCTCATATCCAATAATTAACTATGTTTAAAGCTTAAAATTTTGCGCTCGAGTCCTCTGGCCTGGGATATCCATACCCCTTATTTGGCTCCATGAACTGCTCATTTTCAGAATTAAAGACAGAGATGGCTCAGTGAACCTGAATCAGTGAAAAGCCTGATAATTAAACTGAATTACCATTTGCTTTCACTTCATTCAGTTCAATTCTTTTTTTTTTTTATTACAGAACAAATAAGACATGGGCAGCAACACAGAAGTCTGGAACCAAGTTCCCTGTAACATCCAGTTGAGATGAACTCAACCACCCAGCCATGACCTTATGTTTGTAGGAAAGACACAGACTGTATTTCATATCCCAGTATCTTTATATCACTGTATAATCCATGGACAGTGCTCACTTATGGCACCGATTGGTGAGGTTACCTTCACACAAATGTTTAAACATCAACTACACAAAGTTGAATCTAATACTGACAAACAATGTATCTATCCCATATACAAAACTTCTGTTACCTTATTATGAAAATATTCCATTTTGGGTATATTATTTCTAGCAAATAGGACAAGCTTAGCTTTCATTAACATTGTCACACAGTCAGAACAAAACACCAGCACCAGCATGAAATGCCTGCAAAATCCCAATACATCCAGATTAGTAATTGTGACATCTGGGTATAATATTCAAAAGTCAAAAGGTACACATGAATTTTAGGGATTTGAAGAGATTAATCATAATAATTCTACAAAGTGGGTCACACGGATGTTGGGGCGGTTGTGCATCAGAAACTGGAAACTATATGTTTACTGAAAACGGCCGCCTGTTCACACAGACAATCTCGTCAAGCCAGGCAAGGATGAAGCTCATTCAAAGAGCTGCTTGGAAATTACAGTATCAGATGAAAATGTGATATGACTGCTACATTTCCCACAACAACAGAGGAGCATTCATGGACACACACACACAAAGTCAATCTTTCTATTTAGATTTACAAAGGGTTTTGCAACTCAAGGATAATCTGATCCAAAATAAAACTTATAATGTTGGAGTACAGACATTAATGTAAATCCCATTTAAACTGCATGTGCTTCCTCTGAGGTTAGTTATTTAATATCAAAGAAGTGAAGATATAGCAAATGGACTTTTTATCTTTTTATATCTAATTTTTATGATTCATGCATAAACATTTTACTAAATCGCATGACAATAATTATTACATGTGTGTAACCTATTCTCATCAGCCAGTCTCCCCTCCAATGTGCAAACCTCTGGGTCCTGTTCATGTGGATTTGTATGAATCTGATCTCATCCTGATGGAGTTTGAAACATGAGAAACCTGTTGTTCACTTAATTTCTGTGTATTGGTAAAACTGTAAACAAATCATACATAGTTTCTTCCTGACCTGAAGCATGACAGTTTACCCACTAGTGTTACAATAGCTTCGGTCCAACTTTAGTTTATGGAAACTCTAAATTTTCTGATTTTTAACCATTATCACTTGTCCAACGCTGTGTTCACAGTTTCACAATGGTTTCCAGTAAAAACCTCAAAGCAATCCACAGTTCACACACTTGCTAAAGATTTAATTCTTTAAGACGATTTTAAGAGGCCCGCAAAGAAAACTGAATATGCTTCCTAGAACAAATGTACACACATTTAAATTACAATATTAATGGGATATTTTTCAAATATTAACATGTATCACCATAGGACAAACAGAAGGATAGGCATATGCACATACAGTACAAAAAAATGTAACTGTAATAAACACAAAGTTTTATATAATTTAATGAAGTGAAACCCTTCATACTTCTCAAACAAAAGCTCAACCAATTTTGACAAGTAACAAAACCCCTGGGGATTTTAGTTTGGCATCACTGACATGAGAAATTCACAGGAGTAGGAGTCAGCCTGTGGATAACTGAGAAAAACTAACACAGGCCACAATAAAAAATGTACTTGGACCAAAGAACAACTGCTTTTCAATTAAAATATGAAACAACAACAAAACAAAAAAAAACCCTGTGGGTTGATGCAATCTCATCATATTGAAATGTAAGATATTTGATAATCATAAATAAGCCTTCTTAAGATGAAGTATTTTATGGTTTAAATAAAAAAAAAAAAAAATCAAATGAGACAAAGAAGAGATCCATGTGACATGTGTGCTTCTGGGCTATGTGTATGTTTCAGTGCTTCCTGCCCAGCCTAGCCAGCTTTACTTTGGCAGCTCACCCTGAAGGCCAAATATCCTCAAGGACTAATGTCCCCTCTGCCATCCAAAACAAGCACCCTGTGATTCACAGATGTCAGCTAACCCTGAACTTTCTAAGTATAGCTATTACCACCAGTATGCACCACCATGTATACATAGCTCCTCCCACTTAAACACAGATAGGGTATTATCTTATCTCACAATTAATATTGACCCAAAACCTTGCATTATACTTTGTACTCACACTAAAACACACAGACAGGTGTACAAATAAACAAGGCTAACAAGAATACATGTGATGACATTTCTCGTTTCTCTTTTTGGCTCTGATGACTGCCGTTGTTGAACAATGAAGCAATTAAAAAAATAATTGGATGGAGGGTAGAGAGGGAGATAGGGAGACAGTTCAAAAGAGAGATGATGATAAGAGTATTTGGCTCATCCTGGGTATGAATAAATGAATAACCATGATAGCAGGTCTTTAAAGGGCACTGGTCAAAAGTTTACAGAACACAGTGTCCATTCTGTCCTCTAATTGCCCCGGGACTCAGGAGGGGGTACGCGTGCGTCTCTCTCTTAATGTCTGTGTATGTGCAGCCTTTGTGCAAGCGTCTGTGTAAACTGAGTGTGGGTGTGTGGTAGCTACATGTGTATTTATATTCACAGTGTGCTTGCAAGAGACAGATGATGCAAGCCCTTTGTAGGGTTTCCAAACAGCAGCCATAACTTTCTCTACCTGCTCTAAGCCCTGGATTTATTGCATCATTTAGCAGCCTTAATAGCCTAATGAGCCACAAAAAAGTCAATTTAGCAGCAAGTGTCCACAAGTGCAGCCTATGTGGAGCCAAGTGAATCTGCACAACTAGTCATTTCAAAGGCTACTGACAATGACTCCTGAATAATCCCATGATAATAATGTATTTACACATTACTTTTTGTAAAGAGCATTGGGTGAATGTAATACAAGCTGGCAGATGTTGTGTCACATTTGTTTTTTTGAGCTTTGTAATATCTTTGGGCCGAGGTGTAAGATGGCGGGTAGGATCTTTCTCAGCCAAGATCTTCTGTCTCCATCATGTGGATACCAGAGCGTACTGCAGTGCAGTTATAAAAGATTTAAACCATTATTTTTTTCTCTCTAAACAAATATTAGCAAAAAATTTATAAATAAAATTGTGTCAAAGAAAAAGTAAAGTATTAGCTAAAGCTAAGTAAACATTGCATTCATTCTTTCAGAACACTAGTGATAACATTTACAGATGCGCTATAATTTGTATGCATTTCCTTAAAATAGATGATTCGTTCTCAGATTTATTGTTTAGGACAGAAACTGAAACAAATAAAACCCCAGAGACCAATATGACATCAACAAAATTGAATATTTTGTACTACCAAAAGTCCAAAACCCAAGAATAGGTTTAGTTTATGAATATAATTTACTATTTATTTCCATTCAGTTCAATACGTCTGCCCGATTAGACCTCATCTCAGGACAGTGTAGGTGTGTGTACAGTAACTGACCTCCGTCTGACCCTCTTAATTATGCTGCACCTGTTAAAGGGGGAGTTATACCTTTGGTTCATTTCATTTAGTTACTTCTTTGGTCAGGCCAATGCTTTGTGTGGTCATCCACTGCCATCAGTGTGTGTGAATGGTTAAGTGAGAGGCAAATTGTAAAGCACTTTGCATGAAAGTACCCTAACCTCATGTAATTTCAACATACAGTAGCTCTGCCCAATTTAGAAGCCCAAGTCTAATTGGCCAGAATAAAAGAAAACATCTGAGTGGGTGTGCAGGGCATCAGTAGTTAATCAATTTCCAATGTTCCAGTCCCAACTATGAGATCAGCCATTTGTAACTGGTGTAACCTTATGCCTACAGCCCACATGAATCAATTATGGCCATGAATTATGATTAAAACCTATTTGTGGAGTTCTGAAAGGTTTTATCTTAATGCTTGGTGTTCTAGTAAATAAAACTACTCACCATCCAGAAGAGGGTTCCAGTGGCAAATTCAGCATATTGTTCTATAGTTGACAAGACACTGAAGATTAGACACACCAGGACCATGATGAAGCTGTAGGGAGGCACACAGTTAGTACCACCCATCACTAAATGATCCAATAAAGGAAAGTAACAAAGCAAAAATACTTCATTGCTGTATGCAAGTGCTGTTTTGGGATTACCAAAGTATACTCTTCATAAATCTCTTTGAAATGCATTACCTTCTCCTCACAGAGTTTAGTTGAGGATATGACAGAGTATTTAAATCTGTTGGTTTTGGCTAATCTGATTTTTAAAATGAAACCAGAAGACAATTTAAAACTGTGTGCAGGGCAATAGAATCTGTGGGTTTAAAAACTGTATTATAAATTTTTCTACTGATTACCAGTAACAGTTCTGCACACATGAGCCACCCTATTACATACATTTATCGGACTGACACTGAACAATGCAGGTCAAAGAAAGCTGTTTACTGGCCCATCGTCCTGCATGAATGCCACGGCACTTTGCTTTTGTTTTTGTCATCAACTCGCATGCATCAACAGCTGACAGGATGTTTCCACATCTCCTAGCAACAATAAAATATTCCAACGAGACTGTCCATCTGTCTGTGTATATACTACAAATATAGCCTTGTGAGTGGAACACCCGCTATCTGCACACCTAACTGAAGGTAGGGGAAAGAAAAGGAAAGGAGGAGGAAGGTGAGATTGCAGTTAAATTGATTAAATAACTAATTTAGCTCTATAGGAAGGAGAAAAATACAGCAAAAGGAAAAATATTATTGCAAATATTTTACTGATAGTGGCCAGATAATTTACAATAAATAGGATTATTTTTTAAAACTGAGCAGCACTCAACAGCCCTCTTTTTTTTTTTTTTTAAATATGCACCATAATAATTAGTCTTATTGCATTTATTCCTTGAATTTCTTAAGATTTTTTCTTGTCAGTTTCTTAAGACTTTCATTTCCTTCTCATAATTTTGTACACTTAATTCTAACTACTTAAAAAATTTGTATGCGTTTAATTGGCCCTTAATGTGAGTCATTAACCAGTTTTCTTAAAACTTCATTTACTCCTCCACTGAAATGTTCATTTATTTATTCATTCATTCTAAATTTGTAAAGAGGCTCATATGGGGCTTTGCTTGGTCTTTCCTGACCCAGGATTAAGAACAGAATGAGTTGTGTGTATTTTCACCGTCCCTGAAATAATCCATGGCCCACATCTTTTAAGTGCTTTAACATGACATACAATGAGCATTTGCATGCATCATCATGATCAAGCTCAATTTCAAAAAACCCACAGCAGCGGGTGCATTATGGTGCTGTGCACTATGAACTGGATTACATCAAATCAAATCAAATTGTATTTGTATAGCGCCAAATCACAACAAAAGTCATCTCAGGACACTTTACAAAGTAAGGTCTAGACCTTACTGTTATCAATATTATTACATAGGGAAAACCCAACAAATCCCCCTTGAGCAAGCACTTGGCGACAGTGGGGAGGAAAAACTCCCTTTAACGGAAGAAACCTCCGACAGACCCCGGCTCTTGGTGGGCGGCCTTCTGCCTCGACCGGTTGGGGTGAGTGGATAGAGGAGAGACAAAAGAAGAAAAGCAACAAGACACAACAATCAAACACTGATCAGGTCGATGTGGCCGGTGACTGCTCGTCAGAGATATAGAGCTCCAGGGCAACCTGCAGAAAGTTACAGGGAGAGAGAGAGAGGACACACTACGGGAGAGAGGAGACAAAAAGTTAGTAATGTGTAATGGTGGCATATAGAAACATAGGGAGAGAGAGGGGAGGGGAGGATAGGGGAGGGGAAGGGAGGGGAGAGAAACTCAGAGCATCATGGGGCCCCCCAGCAACCTAGGCCTATAGCAACATAACTAAGGGAAGGCTCAG